TGTTCTACCGACACCAAAACCACCAGAAACAAAAGCATATGGTTTAACATGTCTGTGAAAAAAAACACATTAAATACATTTAAAGATTAAAGAAGCATATTTGTACATATTAATGCAGTGTATGTTATCCCATACACACACAGAGCAATTAAAACCTAATAAATCTATCGGCCAAAATCAGAAATTCACCAGAGCACCAATCTCCCACTATTAAATAATGGTCATGTTCTTTCTAGCTCTACTAAAGACAAAAACGCAACAGTTTTACAAAGATTAAAGAAATCTAGGAGGGTTTCAGATTAACATAATTTTTTTTTCTATAATTCAGAAATATAAAGTAACAGATGTGGAGACAGAACATTCATCAACATAATGGACATGAAGACTGAACAGCACTTGTCATATCCCCACTGCACCTTTTTGTGACAAAATATGTATTCCCTACCTGTGTTGATCGTTGTAAGATGTGTTGTGGTTCATTCTCAATCTTCACAACTATATATGCCCTTTTTCATGAGTCTCTATTGACAATTAGAAGCTCAAAGTGCAAACTGATTAATGTTTAATCGACATTTATTGTATTACTTACTGGAACATCACTCAAACAAGGAAAACGTGAAATGAAAATATACAACAAACAACCCCAAAGGTCTTCTGTTATCTTGTCCTAACTAACTGGTTCATAAAATATCTTGTCTGCACTTTACATTTTACTACCTACTGGCTTAAACATTGTCAAAAGTTATCCAAATGTGAGACTGGTAACATTTAGTTGCTAGTATTACTTTGTGTGCCACTTATCAAAAGAAATATGAATACTTCAAATGAGGATACAACACTTGATCTCTGAAATTTGTGAAATTAAGTTGTGTCTTAATAAAGGCATGAAGGGGCAATGCAAAAAAATGTTTCTGCTCTGGCTAAAGGTGTTCTGAATGTTTGGCTGCTACTAGACTTTTAACTGGTTGGTCAAGACATCACAAATGCTCAGGTTCAGGCAAGGTCACAAAATTACTATATGTCAATAAAACAAAGGCTTGTTTAACATGAAAACATCCATACAAACTTGCAGAGTGCCAGTCTATCACTCAGTCAGAGACAGACTTTTGCATTTATAAATAATGTTTGAAGATAAGTGCAATCTAATGTTACAATCTACCTACTTATACCAGTCAGTGTAGTCCAAATTGTCATCTGTAATGTGCAGGCGGCTTACGACCTTAACCTTTTCACTGCAAGGTCACAGTTCATCAAACTTCACTCACTCCAGCCTTGACAGGTAAGTTGAGGGCACCCAGGACATCACAGGATGACAGAGGTCAGATATAATACCACAATATTCAGTCAAAGATTCTGACAGAAAGACATTATTGAGTTAAAATGATGATTTGTGTTTCACACAGGTCAGTGGACACAGATGGTGGCTCTGAGCAACCGCAAACACACTAAAAGAACTAAAGACACTCTCAAAGCTCAAGAAATAGTTTATTTGAATATGCAGTTTAATAACTCCACCAGTGGCTTAATTACAAACAACTTTTACTGTATGAGACATGATGTGATTAGGAGCTAACCAAATAAACTTGGCTTGACCTAATCTGGGCTCTATATGCTGGGATTGTAATGGGACAGCGAGCTACATGAGCACATAATCCTCTCAGCAGTAGAACAGTAAGACAGCAGACTCAGTTATCTCTTTGGAAGCGCTCCAGCCTTGCCCCCTTCCCATTCTGTCATAGTGAAATGATGGGAAGTCCCCACACTGATCAGGGTAGAAATATCCACCTCCTCCTATACAGTACTCGAGACACTGTGCATCATTTGCTGCTTTGAGCAGAAGTGTGATAATTGATTCAGACTCACATGTTCAGTGTTGCATCCAGTGATTGGTTTGACCCCAGAGCAGATAGCCATGGCTGCACGTTCATTGTTTATTGCTCTGAATGTGATGAAACCTGGTTCAAATTCCCCTTTCATTTAAACAGAAAAAGCAACATGAGTTTATCAAAGTCTACCTTAAAAACAGCAGCATTTGGTTTTATTAGTTAGTTTATTGACCATTTAATAATTTAAGAATAAGCTTTAAAGGTCCAGTGTGTAGGAATTAGTGGCATCTAGTGGTGGAGTTGCAGATTACAACTCAATCAATTCACCCTCCTTTTACAAGCACGAGGGACAAACTATGGTGGCTGCAAATCCCACAAAAACTGAGAACGGCCCTATCTAGAGACAGTGTTTGGTTTGTCTGTTCTGGGCTACTGCACACAGAAGGTGACCTGTGACCATTGTAGATAATGACAGCTCATTATAAGGTAACAAAAACACAACTGTTATTAATTTCAGGTAACTATACACTAATGGAAACGTACTTATATTGATTTATACAACAACTGCAATGGTGAAAAATACTTTTATTATCTCTATTTCCCTCTTGCAACATGAGCTCTTACTTCTTGGATTAGGTCCATATAACATTCTGGTGGACTCTCTGTCTCCATGGTCATACACAATTGGAACAGCTGGCCCTCTGTTGCTGCACGAGCCAATATTGTATCTCACTGGATATTGCTGGAAGAAGAATGTGACAATATCATCATGCAGGTTTGCTTGTGTAGTTAATTTTTTATATTATTGTCATGTTCTATACCTCATCCATTTTTTACCCAAATTATAATTTAACATCACCACACAACTAAGTTACCTTGAAGAGCTGAAAGAGGTTCCCTCCATACAGTCTGAGAAAGCGGTTGTTGGTGTGGTAGCGGAGGATGGCTGCCAGGTTCCAGTGGTCCAGTGGGAAGTTGTTGGGAACGTGCCACACAGACATGTCTTCTCCTACTATATCATAGTAACCTGGATTCTGTGACAGTGCACACACTATTGTGATGACTCTAATTAAGGTTTAGTGCACATTCAGATAGTTTGATGACCCAAACAGGCATTGCTCATTATTCCATCTTGAGATTTACTATACCTAAATTGTTTTATTGACTAATAAAACGATAAAGAAAATGATAACTTGATCAGTACAAAGTAGAAAGTCCTCCTCACTACCAGTTATCAGCTTTAAGGAATGGCAGTCTGAAACGGTGTGTAACACTGTCCTTTGAGACAAGTTTTCTCTTGTTTGGTAGGTGTGTTTGAGGTGGCCCACAAGAAAGAATACTTTAGTGTACCTTAAAATCATCCGAGGTGGCACCCTCTGCTGTTCCAAAGGTGTTTCTGTTGGACCAGTTCCCGTCTCCATCTGGAAGGTTAGCATTGTTGCCCTGCTGGCTCGACCAGCGATCGCCCACTGTGCACCTTCCATAAATGCTGTTCTCATGGACGCTCGCCACCAGCGTCCAGCCGCCTCCCGCAGTGGTCATATCACAGAAGGTCTGATAGACCATGCCATTAGCAGTGGTCAGGTAGTACAGCCCATCTGGAAATATTAGTGTTAATTAAACATGTGCTTGAGGGGACTGCACCACATTGACTGCATTAGAAGTATTATATTATAGTATAGACTATTACATAGAGAAAGTTTCCTTACCTTCGTGTTCATTATATCTGTCCCTGATCTCTTTACAACTCCTTGCAACATATCTGGATCTGTTGCTCAGTCTCTCCAAATGTATAAAGTTTGTTCTGGTGAGGTTCTGAGGTGTTTCAACATCCCCAGTGGCTTCTATGTGGGTGAGCTCTTCATTTACTGCAAATAGAGCCTTTGATCAAATAAGAACGTTAAATTAAAGTGATTTATGATATGAAACAGTGGATGAGCTGAATGTATGTTTGTATTTTACCTATTTCTAAAGCAGCAGCTGCAAAGGCGGCAT